ATGACTCTGACGATGAAGTGGAGAGTGCCAGTACTTCTGCCTCCACATCAGGCAGACGTCATACCAGTGCCACAGTCATTCAAGCCACAGCTACAGCAGCAGCCTCTGTTACCACTGGGCCCACATGAAGTATTGTTTTTGAGTTTTCTATCAAAATATTCTTGTGTGAAACGTTTTTCTCTAAAAATTTGCACTAAAACAAGACATGGTGTTACTGACCAACAACTTAGTATTTTTTTTTTTTTTTTTTTTACAGCACCTTTTAATCTTTATTATAAGCCTTTATTATATAATTTTAAAATATTGTTTTGAGTTTTTCTGTATAGTTAAAAATGTTTTAAATTAATAAAATTTTGCACTAAAGGCTTCTGCATGGAACTTCATTGTCGCCTGCTTTGTTTTTTATTGTGTATTTATAAGTGTTTAGGTGTTGCATGAATAACATAAATCAAAGTAGTTTTACACATACACACACTTTATACAAAGGGTAAATAGTGATCTCACTGTCAACTCAGAGGGATATGGCAGTGGAATATTTACAATGAATCCATATCAGACTTTAAAATCTTGTCCACACATGTCAAATGAAGCTATAATCAATATTTCAGAATAATTCAAACTCAAATATTGGTGGGAAATCTGAGTTTGAAATTATTCTGATCCAAATCTCAGCCCATCATTCCTCCCTGTGATTATTTCCAGGATAAAATGAATTAACCCCAGGCTTGCTTCTTAAAGGTGAATAAATATAAAAATGAGCCAAATGAGCCAGTCTTTTGAATGGCTCTTTGAAATGAACGGATCCCAAAGATCCGGCTCCCTCCAAAGAGCCATAAATCCCATCTCTACTTCGTATAGCTGTACCGTTGAGACAGAGTGAGGAGCTGGGCTTCAGATTCTGACCCTCGAAATTACAAGGTGAGTTTTGGTTTTAACCTTACTTTGTGTTAACATCCGCTAAGCGCACATCTCCAAAGGACGCTGCTGATTTTATTTATTTATATATATATATATTATATATAAATTATATATATATACACATACACACACACACACACACACACAGACCCTTTCCAAAAAATTAGAATATCATGGAAAAGTTGTTTAATTCTATAAATTCCATTCAAATAAGTTAAACTTCATTAGATTATAGATTCAGGGCCGACAATTTAAACGATTTCAGTATTTTATATTTGTTTATTTTTACATAATTTGGGCTTCCAGCTCATAAAAACCCAACGAAAACATGAGAATTCAAAAAATTAGAATACTGTGAAGAAATCACCATTTACTTCTCAGTTTTTGCAGAAAAAAGAGAGAGAAATTAGGATCAAATCAATCAAAATATGGTACTTTCAAAACGATAGGTCAATCTTCAATACTTGGTTGGGAATCCCTTTGCCTTAATCACTGCCTCGATGCGACGTGGCATTGATGCAATCAGCCTGTGGCATTGCCTGGGAGTTATGGAAGCCCAGATCTCCTTGATGCTTGCTGTCAGCTCTTCTTTGTTGTTGGGTCTGGTGCCCCTCATTTTCCTCTTGAGAATACCCCATAGATTCTCAATGGGGTTTAGGTTCGGGAAGTTGGCTGGCCAGTCAAGCACTGTGATGGCATGTGCATCAAACCAGGTTTTGGTGCTTCTGGCGGTATGGGCAGGGGCCAGGTCCTGCTGGAAGATTAAATCTGCATCTCCATACAGATCCTCAGCAGAAGGAATCATGAAGTCCTCTAAAACACTCTGGTAGACTGTTGCGGTGACCTTGGATTTAAGAAAGCAGAGTTTACCAACACCTGCACCGGACATTGCACCCCAAATCATGACTGACTGTGGATATTTCACACTGGACCTCAAGCAGCTTGGGTTCTGTTCCTCACCCGTCTTCCTCCAAACCCTTGGACCTTGATTCCCGAATGAAAGGCACACTTTACTTTCATCGGAAAAGAGGACCTTGGACCACTGGCCAACGGTCCAGTCCTTCTTCTCCTTGGCCCAGTTGAGACGCTTCCTACATTGGCTCAGGTTCAGAAGTGGCTTGACCCGAGGAACCCGACAGTTGTAGCCCATCTCCCGGATGCGTCTGAATGTGGTGGTTTTTGAAGCTGTGAATCCCGCCTAATTCCACTCTTTCTGGATCTCTGCCAGATTCTTGAATCTTCTCTGTTTGATAATCCGCTGAAGCCCACGGTCATCTCTTTTGCCCTTCCACTAGACTTTCCATTGATATGCTTGGACACAGCGCTCTGTGAACAGCCAGCCTCCTTAGCTATGAACTTTTGTGGCTTACCCATCCTATGGAGGGTATCAATGATGGTCTTCTGGCCAGTTGTCATGTCTGCATTCTTCCCCATATTGAACCGAACTGAGACAATTGAACCAAACTGAAGCAATTTAATGACACCTGGGGAAACCTGTGCAGGTGCTTTGAGTTTAGTAGATGATTAGTGTGTGACACTCAGTTTAAAACATTCATGCCCTGCAAAATTTGGGCTGATTTCTTCACAGTATTCTAATTTTTTGAATTCCTGTTTTCGTGGGTTTTATGAGCTGGAAGCCCAAATTATGTAAAAAATAAACAAATAAATACTTGAAATCGTTTAAATTGTCGGCCCTGAATCTATAATCTATGAAAGTGTAACTTTTTGAATGGAATTATGGGAATTAAACAACTTTTCCATGATATTCTAATTTTTTGGAAAGGGTCTGTATATATGGAAATCATCACTGAATTTAAATACTGTATTGATTTACAGGTGACTCTAACTCCTTTTTTAAAAATATAAGATGTAACATCACAACAACAGTAGTAAAGGACAGTGCTGTTGATACAAGATAATATGTGCTGTAACAGATTATGTCAATGAGTACACTTTCCTTTCCCCCACCAACTTAATACTTTTTTTTTTGTTTTTCAGGCCATTCATGGGGATAAATCCTATAGAGGCACCAAGGCTGAACGAGGCAAAGTCCTGGAAAACGGGGAATATCACTCAGAAAAAGATAACAAGGAATCACTGTAGTCCTTTTTGTTAGCAGCTAATTTATCAATAGCTTATACTGTAGCATGTTTTATGTATGTATTGCAGTTAACAGTAAAAAATCTGCAAATATAGCTCCTGTGTAAATAAACAGTAAACTGCTAATCATTCATCAGTATTTTACTGTTAAAGTAGAAAATGACAGCTTTTTGGTGTATTTACAAAAAAACAAATGGTGAAAATGCATGTCTTTGGACTGAGGAGGCAACATCAGCTTACTCATGCACAGGGGTTTACTCGGTTAACTTTAATGAGACATGAAAAATATAAGGTTTATTCACAAATTATGTCTGATTCTTGAAATGTTGAGAGGATTGTGATTAAATCACCACAAGGGGGCATTACTGTAAAAGGTATTTTTCATTCCTGGAACCATGCAGCCTTACTGTCTTTGTTTATAGAAAGGAGGTCTCAAAGTAAGAACTGGACCTTATTGAAATTGTGTTTTTATTTTTTTAGATCATTTCAACATGCATAAAACATTGCAGACATTCCTAATCAAAAAATATATCATTTATAGAAAGAGGAGAAATGAGCTGTGTATGTGTGGCTTTAAAATCACATTCCACATTGCAACAAGAGATCGTTGGTGGAAGAAGTATTCAGAGCCTCTACTTAAGTAAAAGTACCAATACAATCATATAAAAATACTCTTTAAGGGAGCAGAACGTAGTTAAAAGTTGGCTATTAAAGTAAAGGTACTGGTTTGGTTCGTCTGACTGGAAACATGTTTAACGTTTCGCTTGGGTACACTCGGCTGCTTCGGTGCACGTAACGGCAACAGAGTTGAACTAATGCAGTCAAAAACATGTGCGCTACTCGAATAATGACGTCAACGAGTACTTGTACCCATCCCTAACGTATACTATATGTATTAATGTAATACTGAAGCATCAGCGCGTAAGCAGCATGTTACCGTTGTAGCTGCTGGAGGTGGAGCTAGTCTGAACTACTTTATAAACAGTTTAAACCCAGACTCCACATTGTTTTTGATGTCAGAGGCCTAAAAGGTTGTATTTTAAAAGCTCGTTATATTATCCATTGCATAAAACCTTGAATTTAAAAGTAACAGCTAACTATAGCTGTCAAATGCAGTGGAGTACAATATTGCCCCATGAAATGTAATTGAAATGTAACTCCAATAAAGTACAAATACCTTAAGAGTGTACTTAAGTACAGTGAGTGAGTGAGTAAACTTTCCATTACTGAGATGCTTCAAGTTTCCACAGCTGATTGAACTTGCAAACAGCCCATTGAAACAGATGCACTCTTAAAAAAAAAAAAAAAAAAAAAAAAAAAAAAAAAAACAACCAACTCCCAAAGAAATGTTATCATTGCGTCTTGAAACTGGGTGTGTGTTCACATATTGTGATGTTGCACTTCGAAACAATACATCTACTGTATGCTTTGGTTTTGCTTGACTGTTCACCAAACAGGTCAACTCCGACAATGGAACAGTTGCATTATAACCTCCAGACACGGTAGAAGATTCCAGGAAACACACCCGTGAGAATGTTACCACTGTCTAAAAGGCAAACAGACTTCTTTATTTCATGTTCATTTTCAGTTGCGAAACGCTCTGTTTGTATTTTCATTTTCACGGTGCACAGATTATACCTGGTAGCATTCTTTGTCAGTAGATTTGTTTTTGTGTTTTTTTTTTAATTTATTTATTTATTTATTTTTGTGCATTTAATGAAAACATTGAATGTGATCTCTCTCGCACTCTGGAGGTCATGATCAGGGTCAGCTGCATTTCTGAAACAAATGTATTCACTGGGCATCTGAGTAATGGCTCACAACATATAACAACCACCAAGATTCAAACAAATAAAAAAACCACAAATAAAACTTAGCCCTATGGCTACCGCAGACCAACAGTCTTCATTTCCTGTATGGAAACAGTTTCTGTCATGTGGGTGTGAAGGGGTCTAGCTAAGCTCAATCTTAACACACGTCGGTACATCATCGTACACAGACGTGAGATTTAATTATTATTATTCTTACATATTTGCCTTTATGTTGTTCTATAGTAACATTCAAGCTGTAGCTTTAGAATTGGGGAACTTGGAACGAGACAGCACAGATACTTGCTACTGGTAAGTGGTTACCATATTTATCACATGGTATCTGGGTCAGAAGGAAGTCCTCTTTTTTTTTTTTTTTTTTTTTTTTTTGACATTCTTGTCTGTATTTTTATACAAGATTCTCTGAGCAGGTTTGTTTAATTCTTGTAACATTTTGAGTAATAGCCTTTATTATGTTAGTGTGTGACTCTGTGGGGTGTTTATGCTTATATAAGTTCACTGAAAGTAAAATATTTAGGAAAAGTACAATATTTTCGCTCAAACTCTATTCTCTGGTCGATCACATTGTAAACCAACCTGACAATGTTTATAGTAAAATTATCTTTGTGTTAAGGTGCAATGGAAGCTTTTTCTAGATATTTGGGCATCAATGGGATATTATCTCTATGTTGCGTGTTCTGGATTTTCTCACCAGCAGGTAAAACTAATCTTCAACACCATTACTCTGACAATAAGAATGAGCTAAAGGAAGAGTTTGACATATTGGGAAATATGCTGCCTTGCTTTTCTCTGACTGAACCACAAATTCTTGTTTTTAGACCTCAGTTTTTGTTCACTGGTGAGGTTAAGAAGTGCTTGTAGCTGGATATTATCATCTTTGGACAGATCAAGGGCAGCGGTCCCACCTCCCCCTTGTTTCCAGTGTTCATACTGAGCTAAGATAACTGGCTGAGCACATAACAGTGGCATTGATCCTCTCCTCTATCAGAAAGAAAGCAAACAGATTTCTCAAAATGTCAAACTGATAAATGTCAAACTGATAAATGTCAAAAAAAAAAAAAAATCCATCATTTGAGCTTTCTGTTTCGCTCTCAGAGGGGAACCCCATCTTTGAGGCGGCTGGCAGCAGAGTGATCCTGCCTTGTAACGAGACAAACAGCACGCTCCACCAGCTGACATGGAGAATGAATGGATTATTACTGATCAGCTTCAAACCACCGGAAGCCCTATACATCACTAAAGAAGCTGAAAGCCTGAAGATGAATATATCTCTGTCAGAGACCCAACAGTACACACTGGTCATAGACAGAGTCCAGAAGTCTCATACAGGAAACTACACCTGTGACTCCACCACGTCCGAAGGAGTGCTGGAACAAAAGTGGGAGCTGATAATTACAGGTGTGCTACCAGTCCTAAATTAAAAGATTACACTAAACATAAGCAATGTCTGTGGCCACAGCAAAGAAAACAGGATGTGAAAAAGGAACAGAGTGAATGAGTTTATTGAAGATGACAGGGCCAACATTTACTATGCTATATACTTTAGCTGTGCAAACAATGCACACACCTAGATACACACAAAAGAGCTACACTGGTATTACAGCACTGGCATCGACTTCATGTCTGTCTCTACAATTTATAACCCTTTCACTCAAACTTAATGAAGAAAATTTCCAGCTTAGCATAGTACAACTATACATTATTCCATTGTGGCATACGTACGTGCTTGCAGGTATTTTGAGAACCACAATGCAAGAGAGCATCACATCCTTTATAAGACAGTCATCTTATATAAACAAAAATTAAACAGTCTTTACGTGACTGCAAGCTGAATTTAAATTAAATTAATTTAAATTCACCTGTGGTGAAATGACTTGTTTTTTCTCCCTCCCAGGACACGAGGAAAACTGGAATAAGCTGATTCCTGTGGCAGTTATTGTTTCTTGTGTGTGTTGCTTGATCTTTATAATTGCTTGGATCATTCTGCGAAGAATCTACAATCGGCATGCAGAGTAAGCTTTGCTTTCAGTTATTCTTTAACACATGACTCTACGCTCATAAAGATGTACTTCTAATGGCATTATACTGCAAGAATATAACAAAATGTCACACTCCTTCGTAGGAATGGCAATCAGTCTCACACTGCAGAAATGGTAATACAACAATTATCATTATCATCATCTGAGATTTTATAAGGAGCTTTCTCATCTTGAATTCAATTACCAATGAAACAATTTTATATTCAGTTCTGTTTTTGCAAAGAGACTGAGCTCAAATTGAGCTGACTGCAAGCTGCGAGGTTCATTGTGTAATTTATGCTCTATTTCTGTTTTTTGTGTTTTTCAATGGCAGGCGCAGTCAGAGGACATTTATGAGAACTGCCTGGAAATTAATGTTAGACAACAACAAAATAATCAGCAGCCTCATTATTACAAGACCAGAGCTTGCTGATATTAAATGCTGAAAAGGAAAGGAAACTGAAGAAAGGAAATGAGCACACGAACTGCTATAACAAATGTGTGAGAAAAAAAATGAAACCATCTTTCTTGGACTATAAACACATCACAAAAGAAAAGCTGGCTATTTTATATAATGTACAATTTTAAACTGCTTTCTCAAGACATGTATAATAAGTAATGAAGAGCAGAGTAAATGCTTTAAGGAGCTATTTGAAAGTTATGCTATTGCTAAATAGTCAGACTTAGCATTAACAGCTGTTTACTCAACAGTTTTTCCAAGAGCTTCAGCCATCGTGTTAACAACACAAGGGCAGACTGGACTCTTCAGAAAGTGGCAAGACAGTCCAGTCAGACCATGGCTAGCTGGTTAGCATGCTAACTGCAGAAGAAGAAAAGTGATAGAAATAAAAGCAAAACAAGAGAGTTGCTTTCCATTGCTGGAGACACAACTCTTAAAGAGTAAAGGAATTAAGTTTAATGCTGAACTCAGAACGTTTCTTCTAGACTGGTAGTTAAACGGCTGTTAACGCTAACATTGGTTAGCCTATGTAGTAATGGCAAGACTTACAAATTGCTCCTTGAAAGCTGCATTAAATGTTTGTCTGATCACTTATGCCACCTTTTATAAATAAGTTATGATAAATGTCATCAAACAGTGACCTATTAAAACTTGAACTGAGAGGAGCTGCAGATTCAGGTGACTTCCTGTGGATTTGTTGTCCTTTCATTCATTATCTTAATATAAAAATAATGATTAGTGCTCTTGTGCTGATGCAGACCAGTTTTTACTGGCAGCAGCTTTCGGAGATTTTTAAGAGATACTGCATGGTTCCATGGAACATATAGCAACTATATCAGTTGTTTGAACAGTCATAGATGCCAGAGATTATTAACTAAAAATAACCATGAATCACTCAAAAAACCCCCAGTGTCACTTCTCAATGTATCCGGGTGAAGACTTTGAGTTTAGGTCGACTTATTTAGAATGTGGAGTCTAAATTCCTTGTTTATTTATGTTCAAAGTCTTGGAGTTTGGAGTTTATTTATTTAAAAACAAGGGACAGTACATATTAATGAACATATACATGTAAATATGCCAGATTATAGCCAAGTGGCTAATTTCCATCTGCAGTCCCTTTGGCAGGTTGATGTTAACATCGTGGAATAATAAAATCAATAAACAACAGTAACAACAAGTAAGGCAATTGGAAGACAAAAAAAAGATACAGTAGTATTGTAGATCATGAAACATGCAGACCAAGGGTCGGGGTATCATACGTATTTCACTAGTATTTAAATGCTAAAAACTTAGGTAGATAAATATCAGAGAGCTGATTAAAGTGCTATAGTGTTAAAGTGTTAAGTGCATACTTATATTGCAGATGAAGTCGTAACTATTTAAAATGAAATTCAGTTAAATATCAAACAGCAAGTAAATCCTTCAGTTCATAAGTTAGGAAAGCGAATATAAACAGCTGAGGTTCATGAGTTACAGTATATTCAGTAGAGCTCAGATTCTTTGTGAATTTGAATAATGATAATGGTGGTTAAACTTAATGGGGGGTATTTCAGTCATTTAGTATTATACTTCCATAAAGTTGAGGGACTCACAAAAGACAGATGATTAAAAAAAGAATAGACTGAGAGAAGAGACTGAGACATCCTGAGTTTTAGTCTCGAATGAGGCAAGCTCCGAAACACTTAAACCTGCATTTCCCATTATGCTTTTATTCAAACCTCCTTAAATAATAAATGCCCATTTCTTTGAAGTCCCACAACTCAAGGTATGAGTTTTTGACCACTAGCAGCACTATGTAGCAAGAAACCCTCTGCAGCTTTACAAGTGGCCTAAACTGACATTGATTAGAACAGTGCTTAATTGACTTACAGAGTTACAGCCAAGTCATTCTTTCCTGTCTATTGCAAAAGGGCTTCTCTGATTTCATGGGACTGGTTCACAGGACTAGCACTTGTGACAACTATTACTTCTGTTCACATGGTCAAAGCTGAGTCATAAAACTGACCTATTTTTTTTTTTTGGTTTGGCTGTATTTTTAGGTCAAAAGGCACACTAATGGGCAAAACACAGTCCTGAAACTTATAACTGTGTGTGATATGGTGGGAAAGTATTCTTGTACAGTTGAATAAACTTTGCAGATTAGGAATCAAGGGTATGTGTGTACACACTGTAAATACAGAAATATTTGAGTGAAGAGCCTGGGATATTTGTAATGTTTAACTTTCTTTAATTGGAATACAGTTCAAGGGAAAAGCAAATAAATTCAGCACTTCAATTAGCAGAAGAAATCATTTAAAAACAAGCAATGGATGTTTTTAAAATGAAAAGGCACACAACTAAGAACATTTTTCTGCATCATTTCAAAACACACAGATTGAAACACATTAAATGAAATATAAAAAAACAAAAAAATGTGTGCACCCACATTACCTACAATGCAACTCAACAGTTCAGTCAGAATCTTTGGTGTGTGATGATGCTAGTGGCTAATGTAACCTCAAGCAGAGATGAGCAGATTAGAGTTAGACTCCGTTTTTTCTGACTCCACTTTTACTTTTACTCCTGTTTTACTGGGGAATTTTGGGAAAAACTTATGTTGACACTTTAGTTTTATGGGACTTAAAGGAGTCTAATGTGAACCCTAAGAGAGTGTAGTTAGTTTGTTAGTTTAATGTTTGCATTAAAGGTGGAGTGAGTGATTCTAATCCAATTCACTTTTTGTCAAATTCAGTGAATATCTCCTCATGGTCTGCTAGCTGTCCGTTCAGTATTCCTACAAAGCTCTGGCTCTGCAAATGGGAAATTAACAAAGTGCCCTTGACTGAGGAACACAACAGTATCCCAGTTAATCAGTAACAGCGGAGCGTTTTTGCTTGTGCATAGAACAAGGAGAAGGGAAGTGGGGGGAAGGGTTCAGTGGGAGCAAGAGAGGGTAAATATGGCATTTACTAATGAATAGTACTGATTTAAGGATTACCAGGAGAAGGACCACTCTACTACTGGCAGCAGCATGACTGAGGTGTGTGAGCATGTTAGCATGCTGATCAGAAAAGTTGTAATAATAGCAATAAGACAGATTGTAACACAGATCTTCAATTTTACCTTCATTGAACTTGAACATGGCATTCTTGCAACCTTCACTCTGAGTTCAGTGTTTACACTAATAACTAACAAGCTCAAAATACAGCTGGTGAGACACTTATGGAAAAAAAAAAATCTGCTTAACAAACGGTTTTACCCGCATTTTTTAACTAACAAACAGCTGTGAGCAGAGAGATAAAAATAAAGCACATACTGTATGCAACTGTAGAGGAAATTTCAAGACACATTTTTTTTGGCCATTTTTGAAGAAAAAACAGGCCTCGGTTAGTTTCAGCTTTAGTTTCAGCAGTTCAGCTCAGCCTTCAGTGTAATCCTACCTTCAAAACATAGAGCACAATTAAATTGACTTGAATAGAAAAATAAAGATGTTTGAGTGTTGGTATAAATAAAATTAGCTATGGACCTGGTAAATAAATATGTTCTATTGTAGGTGATAGGTCATAGACGTACACGTTTGGTTATTTAAATATAACACAGACAAATGTGCATCCTTTCCAGACACTCCCCAGGCCACAGGAAACATTCGTTTGCCAGCTGTCAAACAAGTGTGGCCTGAAGAAGCAGCAGTTAACACTGTGCACATGGTATGAAAAATATTTTCATAGTGATACATGTATTTCAGTATCGTCACACCACTCCAAGTGAAGGGAATATCTTTTTAGAAAAATAGCGTTCTGGTTGCACGTGGTGGCCCAACACCTTACTAAGACACTTCCTTTAAAACCTACCTCGTTCAGGAAAGTTAAGCTGCACCAATTTAAAGGCAAATAAACTTTATTTATTTTCAAGCCTTGTTTTGCCTTGAGTGCATTTTTTAAAGTAATTTGAAATTCCTTTATTTTATTTATTTATATATGTTTTCCATTTTTTAAAACTGGTTACTTAGAATTGGGTTTATCATCCGGAACTTCAATGCACTAAACGGGTTTAGTTCTAACAAATAATATTCGCTATAAAAGCTTTTTTGTATTTTTATTCTATTATCTTTAATAAGGTACAAACATCTCTTATCCCATTAATCGATATTTATAATACCTGCCCTAAGCCTTAATATAGAATTTAAAAGTGCTGCAGACAAAAAAGGATATTAAAAAACAGCTGACGTATTTGTATTAGTGTGGGAAATTCTATCTTGCAAAACAGCATTTCTGTTTTTGCTTTTGTTTAATTTGTGGTAAGTTTTTTTCATGCTGCCTATGTGTTGCTGAATTCGCAAACATGTTTCTTAAATTGCTCGTGTTATATCTATTTGCAAGTGTTGTCTTAGACTTCAGCGTGTTGAACCTCCACAAGCACAATATTATTAATCCTTCATTATATATTTTCGAGTTTTCTATTAAAATTTCTCATGAATCATTTCCATCAATGCGTTTACATGCACTTAAATAACAAGGTCAGCTTTCTGTAATCTGATTACTTAAAGAGTCATGTAGATTTTGGTAATTGAGGTAAGGATTAAAGAAACCTAATTTTTCATAATTAGATCCTCCTGGACAACGGTGATTTCTTGGCCATGTATACATATAACCAGGTTTCTAATCATAACAAATAATTGCAGAGGAATCACTGAAACATCTGTGGGGAGAAATCTGAACACTGAAAAAAAGCACCCTGTTTTCTTGTGTGCATGTAAATGTATTGAATGATCCTCTGCTAATGCTCTTGGTAGGAATACATCCAGAAGTCAAATACCGTTAGGTCTTAACGGTCTTGTGGGTTAGAAAGGGGAGGCAGTTTAAACCACATCCTACATAAAAAGGCACTACGCGTTAAAGTCAATTAACCAGAAAAGTAGACATCAGTAGATCTTAATGCAACATGCAGGACAGACACTCCGAAATGAAAATGTAAACTAACAAGCAGCATAAAGCCAGGGATATAAGTAGATACACACCACCTGGAATGTTGCATTTGTTCACTAACCAGCAGATGCAGGAATGAACCATGTCAGCTGTGGAGCCTGTAAATCGCCTGCAGTCCAACTTTTGAGGATGTCGTTGCTTCCACGAATGGCAAATAAATCTCTAAGCAAGACAATGCAAAACAACTGATTACACCGAGACTTAGTATCAAATGATTTTGCAAAGATTTTTGGGGTATCTGCGGATTTCTGAAAGACCATCAAAAAAAAAAAGACAATAACTGAAAAGAAAAGCTCTGCTGCAACACTGTAAACAAATGGTGTTAGAAAGTTTCCAGTTTTTCCAGAAAAGTAGATATAATGAAATGTGTTCAGGAATAGTTGTACTTTCAAATAACTTATTAATGCACACACATTTAACTTTAAAATCTGAAATCTAAAAATTAAAGAGCCAAAAAGTATTTAAAAAAATTAAGTACTGTACGTGTTTTTCCTACCTATGTCGGTTGTTCCGCAACTTCTGCCATTTCAGACTCACTGGAAGTTGTTCGGACCTTCTGCCTCTCCCCACGTGTGCCCTCTTTTGTCCTAAACAATGAACCATCAATTAATATACCACAAAAGACTTGCATGTAATATGCGGTACTACTTTACTTGGTACCTGTATTTATTAAGGTACCACACTGCGGCACCAATGACATTCAGGGAAAGCAAAAGACCAAATAGGGTCCAACAAGCCGTGCAGTTCCCTGTAGGGAGAACACAAGAAAGAAGAATAAAGTTAGAGGAAATACAGTGCCAGTGTATCTTTTTTTTGCTTCAGTGGTGTCTCAACTCTTGCATCCTTTGCTAGTTAAATCCGATCAGGTCAGGGGCTCTGGTTAAAAAAAACTGGTGGGAAACAGTTTACTTGTTACTGCTTATTTATGGCTGAGCAACTTTTGTCAGGCTCTGTGATCAGTGATTGGTGACAGCTGCCAGTCAGTCAATAGCGACGCTTATCAATATTTTTATAACAAGAATTTATCAAATGACTACATAAAAATGATCAGACAATGTGAAAGGGGTCATTGTAGTGATGAAGAAAGAGAACTGTCACCAGAATCTGCAGCTCACCTCGGCTTAACAGAGCTTCATATTGAGTTTCAGCTCATCGTTTAGCTGTCCAGCCTACAACTTTACTGTTCTGGCTCACTTTCACCTGGTTTACTTATGCTGTTCTCAATTTCTTGGCTGTAGCAGACAGCTGCGTACATGGAAAAGCTCTAAAAATCAGTTGTACAATACATGCTCAGCACCAAATGGCAGATTAACAACTAGCTGGAGTTTAAGAACAAAAGATTTCCCTCAGGAGTTGGTAGAGACCAAAACAGAGCGAAAGGAAAGTGAACATTGGATTTTTATTCAGCAGGGGGCCAGCAGCACGACTGTGATAAAGATGCTCTGTAACTGCTGGATGTATAAATCAGCACACATTTTTTTGATAACAAGTTCATCACATTGACTTAAAATATGATGACATGTTAGTGTTGTTTCTGCTGCTCCTGAGTGGCCAAAAACATCTGTTGAATATTCTGGCCCGTGGAACAAACAACAACAATCATACATCTGTATTATGCAAAAAATTACTTCTAATGCAGGGGTCTCCAACCTTTTTTACTCTGCAGAGTTACTTTGACAAAAGGGGTTGAGAGCTCCTCATGTCTTATATTACAGGTTACATATATATATATATATATATACTGTATATATATATATATACAGTATATATACAGTACTGTGCAAAAATTTCAGGCAGGTGTGAAAAAATGCTGTTAACTAAGAATGCTTTCAAAAATATAAATAATTGTTTATTTTTTATCAATTTACAAAATGCAAAGTGGGCGAACAAAAGAAAAATCTAAATCAAATCAATATTTGGTGTTACTACCCTCTGCCTTCAAATCAGCATCAATTCTTATAGGTACACTTGCACAAAGTCAGGGATTTTGTAGGCTTATAGTCAGGTGTATGATCAACCAATTATACCAAACAGGTGCTAATGATCATCAATTTCATATGTAGGTTGAAACACAGTCATTAACTGAAACAGAAACAGCTGTGTAGGAGGCTTAAAACTGGGTGAGGAACAGCCAAACTCTGCTACCAAGGTGAGGTTGTGTGGTTGAGTTTCATGTCACAGGTCATACACCATGGCAAGACTGAGCACAGCAACAGGACACAAGGTAGTTATACTGCATCAGCAAGGTCTCTCCCAGACAAAGATTTCAAAGCAGACTGGGGTTTCAAGATGTGCCGTTCAAGCTCTTTTGAAGAAGCACAAAGAAACGGGCAACGTTGAGGATCGTAGACGCAGTGATCGGCCAAGGAAACTTAGTGCAGCAGATGAAAAACACATGAAGCTTATTTCCCTTCGAAATTGGAAGATGTCCAGCAGTGCCATCAGCTCAGAACTGGCAGAAACCAGTGGGACCCAGGTACATCCATCTACTGTCCGGAGAAGTCTGGCCAGAAGTGGTCTTCATGGAAGAGTTGCAGCCAAAAAACCATACCTCCAACATGGAAACAAAGCCAAGCGACTCAACTATGCACGAAAACATAGGAACGGGGCTTGCAGAAAAATGGCAGCAGGTGCTCTGGACTGATGAGTCAAAATTTGAAATATTTGGCTGTAACAGAAAGCAGTTTGTTTGCCGAAGGGCTGTGGAGCGGTACAATAATGAGTGTCTGCAGGCAACAGTGAAGCATGGTGGAGGTTCCTTGCAAGTTTGGGGCTGCATTTCTGCAAGTGGAGTTGGAGATTTGGTCAGGATTAATGGTGTCCTCAATGCGGAGAAATATAGGCAGATACTTATCCATGATGCAATACCATCATGGAGGCGTATGATTGGCCCCAAATTTATTCTGCAGCAGGACAACGACCCCAAACATACAGCCAATGTCATTAAGAACTATCTTCAGCATAAAGAAGAACAAGAAGTCCTGGAAGTGATGGTATGGCCCCCAGAGAGCCCTGATCCCAACATCATCCAGTCTGTCTGGGATTACATGAAGAAGGATTTGAGGAAGCCTACATCCAAAGATCTGTGGTTAGTTCTCCAAGATGTTTGGAACAACCTACCAGCCGAGTTCCTTCAAAGACTGTGTGCAAGTGTACCTAGAAGAATTGATGCTGTTTTGAAGGCAAAGGGTGGTCACATCAAATATTGATCTGATTTAGATTTCTCTTGTTCATTCACTGCATTTTGTTAATTGATGAAAATAAACTATTAACACTTCCATTTTTGAAAGCATTCTGTCAACATGGTAAAAATGTTGCAACATGTACAGGTGTTTAGTGTATGTTATGTATTTTTTTGGCTGTTTCATAGCATTTGGTGTAGTGTCATATACCGCGTTACATTTAGTTGACTCACTCCATGCAGCTGAACCCTTAGTTGGCAGGTCCAGAGTTACAACAGAAACTTAGACATGAAATGACCATGACTGTGACACAGCATTTCACAAGACATGACTTGCAACACACTTGAATGTTTTCCTGTGGTACAGTGGGTGCAAAGTATTGCACGATAAGTGAGTCATCCTTTCATTCATTTTCTTCCACTTGTCTGTGTTGTAATGGCACCAGGCTGAAAGCCAGTTCCTTGCACAGTCCATCCCAAGCCATTTCTCTTGCTAAATGGGATATATAATTCTTCAGTGTGCTCTGAGTGGGTCCTGGATTGTCCTTTCAGTTGGATATAGCTATAATAGCTCTACAGGAAGCATCCAGAATGAATCCTGAGGACATTCATGCAGCTGCTTTACTCCAGTACTAGCTCTATCTCCTTAGGGATCAATCTATATTTCTTGCTACAGAAATTCATTTTCACTACAATTTCTTTTCTTTCTTTAAATCAAAAAACACACACCACACACAAACATTTAATTATTCATGGCAACAGAATGAAACAAACATTCATAATGGATTTAAAACACAGAACAGGATGACAATAAATGCCAAAAAACCCCCCCAAAACATCACTTTTTGACAGGAACCCACAATCAGATCAAACATGACCTCACCTGAAATCAGATGCACATAGAGGTAACCATGGCATGTTCCATATCGATTAGTTGCTTCACACTTGTAGAGGCCATTCAAGGCAGAGCTCTTGCTCACAAGCTGTAGCATTGCACCCTCTAAACGGACTTGTGACTGAGGCAATGACTGGCCAGATCTGAAGCAGAGAAACAAGACAGTGCAGCAAATATGCAGTCAAATAAGGACTTGCAGTCATAGGGCAGAAAAACACTGCAAACTCAAATTGTTGCTTCCCTTGAAAAGGTAAAAAAAACTGCCTACCAGCATCTCTAATAACTTTATTGTAACAGTATTTTTTCAGACTACTTTTTGCTAGACTATTCCCTCAGAAACGTTTTCCAAATTCAACTGAAAAACATCTGAGGGAGGAGTCTGGCATGAATTGCTATGAAAAACATTTCAGGAAAGTGGGAGCTGGTCTGTCCAGTCCTTCAACTAACCCAAACCCTTGACACAACTACTTTCCTCTATCTCCATACCTCCAGAATGCCCATTTTATGCTACTTTATACTTCTACTCCACCTACATAAAGACTAATAATGATGTTCATTTATTCTAATAATTGCCTATTATGCATATTATATAGTTTTCCCCATGAATATAGTACAAACTCCCTTTAAAGTAATTGAAACCCATCACTCTGCCTCTGACTGGGCTTTAACACAGTCCTGCTCAGTTGTTTATGCCTATGCCTTCAACAACCAGCTGTAATTCACCCTTTTGAAAAATTAAGATAATAGGATTATCAGACTGTTTAAATGTTCAACAGAGGATCACAGACAGTTGCACTGTTTAAAACAACATCTGCAGCGTAAGTCAATAGAACCTCATGAAAGGCAGTTTTTTTTATTGGTAGATGAACACCTGTCTGACTAAACTGTAAATTCCTCTTTTTGAAACTGAACCGTCTCTTTGGAGTGGTTTTAAGCTCTCAATTAGAAATGAGTGGAAACATTTTAGTAAGGTCTGAATTGAAAAGCAGAGAAACCACTTCTTTAAAGCTCTGTGTGATTTTTTTGGGTAGTTTTTGCCTTTATTCAGACAGGGACAGTGCGAGAGTGACAGGAAAGTTGGGGAGAGAGAGAGGGGATGACATGCAGCTGAATAAGAACTGAGCCTAAGTGGTACGCGCTCTACCAGTTGAGCAATGGGAGCGCCCCAGAATGTAACATTTTAAACTATCTCCGCATTAAGCTAGCTAATACTGAAAATGCATTTTTCCTCTATCAGTTTTGTCAATCTGTTTCCACAAAGCCACCGTTTATGACACTCAAATATCAGTTACAACAGAGTGTCTTTAACAGACATATTGGTTTCATTCACCCGTTAATTTCAGTTCAGTCACTCACATCGGTTTTTCCTGACCGAAGTTAAGCTTCTGTTAATACAATTCATCACTTCCAGCACTTTTTTCACATTAAAAGCTTCGAAAGTGAAAAACCTACTGAAAGTATTCTGTTTCATTGACAGTAGTTTAACATCACTTTGTAAAAAAGATAAGTGAGTAACTACAATTAATAGGTGGATGAAACAGGTATGGTACACTGCAGGTAATCCCCCACCCCCTCAAGTAATTTCACCCAGCCTTTATTTGTTCATGCTGGTTATATGAGAACACAGCTGCTGTCATTAACAATATGCTTGTTTTATCACTTTACATCTCAAACAAAGACCTAGTAACCTATTTGACAAGTAGTTTCTATAACGCCCAGTTTGCTGTGTCACCATGAAAAAAGAAAAAAATATGTGAATGAAAACAACTTAATCATGCGTTTGGCTGTATATAAACCTAACTAAACTAAAGTTAAATAATTGTCTCTTTAGTTGTGAAAATGTAAAACCAACTGGGCTAGGTTTAAATTTTTAATTTTACATTAAACTTGAGAAAACAAGTTACAGAAATTAGTAAATTCAACAACTGTTCAGAGCAACATTGGAGCACATTCAAATTCATTCAAATTCACTTGGCTTCAGTTTGAATTATGAAAATTTATCTCGTCTGTTTAAGAAAAGTTTCGTTGAAACCATTTTTACGACTGTACCTTGTCCAGGTAATTTCTGCAGTTGGGTTGGCTTCAGTTAAACACTGAAATGAGTCCTCGGATCCCGCACTAATGTTCACTTCCGTAGGTGAAACTGCAAGAAACACAGAGAGAGAGAACCAGCTGTGTTATTGCTGTAGCTGAGAAAGTAGTAATGGCACTAAAATAATAATGAACACAATGTCTTGTTTTTGACTCATGAGCTTGTAAAATCATGATAAACTCACTAAACTCAACTTGGATGTATATCCAAGATCCATTCATTAAAACATCTTTTAATGCTTGCATTTCTCAAATTCAAAAACATCTACCATTCACAAGGACCTTAAAAACATTACAGCCACATATATATATATATATATATATATTACAGTGAATTAGCTGCATTTGAAAGATTGCTGTTTTCAGCACACTGACGGAGTAAGTATTTAAGGTCTATTTAAGATTATATATCACACACAGTGGGTAAGAATGTTCCCGCAGGGACAGCTTTGTTTTTCTAAATTTGCCTATTTTGGCTGCTGGACAGATGTTATCTGGGTTGTTTCCAGACATGTAGTAAATGGACTGGACTTTACAATGGAAGCCACGTTCACTTATTCACACACACACATTCATATAACGCTTTCCCTACACATACAGTATAGCACTTCTCCATACACACACACACACTGGACTGACTGGAGAAGCTTTGTCACTTATAAAATCCACTTATTAGCCTTTAGAGCCGAGTATCGTGCTTTGGTCATGTGAAAAGAGGATTTACTACAATAATAATATATTACAACATAAATATCAGTCCTCTCAAGGTCGCCAATTGTTGTCTGAGCTAGAGCACCAAAGTATCCAGAAAAGGCCCTGGGCCTCTTGCTCTTTCTCCTCATCCCGACTCTTGGTTGGTGACTTTGAACACTCAGTTGAAGATGTGACTGGTTACTTGTCGTCCCCTAGTTTGCATAATGACACCTCAGCTCAGCTGAATGAAGCTCAAGTGATGCAGTTGAAAGCTCTAAAAGATAGTAAGTGGACCTGTGAGTGTAGATGATTCTGTTGCCTTTACAGTGCTATTTCCAAATGTGAAGAAAGAGCTTCCAAACTCCAATTCTTGCTGGATTAGAAACATTGCTCAGATTGTTTGTTCCAACACAGTGTGGGTGTGGTCCAGAAAAACAATCTCAATGCAACTCTAAACTGTGGTATGTGGTTTACCTCTACTAAACTCTAGTATTTGCAGTTCCCTACTATCTGGATCATTGAAAAGTAAATCACACAACATACTGCAGCTGACTAACGGGGTTGGTTGAAAAAGTGACAAATTCTCCAACATGACATGCCACACCCCAAATTATGTAATGGTAATGAGAGAAGCAAATCAATTGCATCACAAAATCTCCACATTTCAAGGTTGTGTTGTAAATGGCTTATGGCAGCACAACCTTTCCTCCAAAATGAGTGAAGAAACACATCTGTGTCAGGACTGAAGGGCAAATCGCATTTTATGTTCTGTAGCATGTCGGAAGTGACGAAAAAACAAATTGGCATTTATTTTCATTGAACATGGTCATGCCCACTGATAACAACATTCTGGTCTAAAACAGTGATGGTTCCAAAACTATGTATTTTTGGTGTTAGCTCCTGGTCTGAATCAAAAGGACAAATTGCTCAGCATCATGTTTGATGCATTACGTCTTTTGGTTGTGTGTGGCCAGCAATAACTTATATTGGACTAAAACTGAGGTTCATTTGCTAAATTGTAAAACTCCCTGCCTTTTAAAGATTGATTATCTGTTTTTGTTTTCTATGTGTACATGCTGTAACAGCACTATAAGAAAGGTCTGTATTTAGTTTGCCCATATGTGTATGTTGCTCTCCTTATACTGTTCTGCTGTTTCAGAATAAAATAAGTGAAAAAAAACTCCTTCAGTAACTGACGTAGAGAAGTATTTGTATACCCACAGTAGACCTGCACGATGAAGGTTTTCTTTTCCTCCTCCGGCAGGGCTGGACTGGTGACGACACACTGGACCGAATGTTGGTTGATTTCTCTGGTGGGAACTCCCAACAGCGAGCTGATTGTGGTAGTCGTACCGTTGTCATGTTGAATGGACCTGGTTTTTGCCCTCACTTTTCCTGCCAGAGTATTGTTGTCCTGCCACGTCACCTTTGCAGGAGGCCTGGAACCATCAGCCGTGCAGGTAGCGAGGGGAACTTCTTTATCACCCAGAACAGGAAGTTTATCCTCCACCTGTATGACCGGAGGCACTAGGAGAGATACCATACAATGATGAATGAACATGCGAGCAAGAACAAGGCACTACTATTTCTCTCTCTCTCACTTTCTGACACACACACACACAAAATCCAGATTATTCTTTAATAAAAATGTTGCATCATACCAAGCAAGTTTAGAGGTATCTCCGTCCTGTAATTTCCGGTGGGGAACAAAGTGAAGATGCAGGAGTAAAGACCTTCATCCAATAATTTGACAGATGATAACTTGAGGGATCCATTCTTCTCATTCAAGTTTCCAATAAATTTAAATCGATCATCGTGTCCATTGACGAACTGTGGTCCGCCATTGGACAGGATTGTAAAGAAATTGTCATTCTGAGGTTTGCCTCTGGTTCTCCTCTGCCATGAGATCTGGGTGAGGGCTTCATTGGTGTTGCTGAGTTTGCAGGGTAAGATTACAGTCTCTCCTTGCACAGCAGTCACGTTTCCTCCAGTCACGAGGTAAGCTGTAAAATGCATAAACTTCCATCAGGCTTTTAGAAAGGAAAAAAAACAAACCAAGTCTGAACAGAGTATGTGGTAGTGACGCTTGCTTTGCTTTCACAGTTTTCGTCACAGTCTCGAATCCTCTCGCGTTTTTTCCTTCATGCTTTTGCTTATTTTGGCCAGCATGTTTAGTTTTGTTGTCTGTGGTCTCACATTGACACGGATATGCGTTTTACATTAATTGGTGATATTTTATTTTATTTGGCGAGGTCATCAGTCACAGCCACACCTCACAGACACACTAAACCCACTATGGGGTCACCAGTTAAATATATCATGCCTAAGATTCAGCTGCTTTATTTTTATGATAACGTTTCTATGGTGTTTCTGTGACAAAAAATGTAAACAAAGGAGGCGAGAGACACGTGTTTCCGTTATGATCCTTATGATCACATCAGTTCTCAAACGGGTTGATCGTGTCATATTTGTTAAAGGAGAGTGTTGTTAAAATGCGGTTTCCGATACATTGCAGGTTGAATCTCACAGGACGGTAACTGCGATACAATACCACTGTCTTCAAGAAAAACGAAAACATTTATCCATCCTACCGTCCGAACATCTGCTCTGGATCAGGATGAGCACCATCATCAGGATTAGCTTGAAGGAGAAAGGAGCGGATGGGAAAGTCCCCGAGGGGCACAGGCACAATGAGTGTCTCCAGTCATCCATCCGTATTGCTTCCGCGCGAGTGGTCCCGCCTTCAAGGACACATCTACACAATGAAAACTATGGAAAAGCAACAACAACAATGAAAAGAAAGACAGCCTACTCAACTCCTACATGATGTAGGCTAACGTTTAGACGACCGATTTTTGCAGACGCCATTTGCTTGTACCGTGTCAGTTTAGCTCCTCCTCCTCCTCATCCTCATCCAGACACTCCCATTTGAGTGAGGTTGCACTTGCACTGTTTCCGAATGAATAGCATCTATTAAAATTACCTTTAATTTACAAAAAATAAATAAATTAAACATATTGGATTAAACCTTGTCTTTGCCCCTTAATTGAAAAATTAAGGTGATTTGTGGGTTTATTTGACTGGGAGAAAAATTAAATTAATAACTTAATCTCTTCTCTGAAAGATGTAGAAACGTATATATATATATAACGAAAAATGACACTTTCAAACCAAACGCATGTGTGTAGTTGGTTTCCAGAATTTTTCCATGATGAAAATACTTTAACAAATTTGCTAATTTCATCGAAACACAATGTGTATGAGGCCCATTCCTACCCAGGGGCGCCGTAAAGGGGGGAAAAGTTAGGACGATTCTAAGGGCCCATGACTGACAGGGGGCCTCCCAAAAAAATAAAAAATATATATATTTTTTATTTTTTTTAAAATCAGAATTAATACTTTATTCAAAATAAAGTAATGAAACAAACGGTCCCTTTGTCTTCATAAAATGTATATCAAAGGTCTCTACTTCATTTGGGCAAATTCATATTAACCCCCCCCCCAGCTAATTATAGCCTACTAAATGGCTTGTCCCCGCCCTCCCTACCTGACTCAGCAGCTGATATGTCGGCAGGTGCACCATAAACCTTGTTTCATTTCATGTAGCCTAACTGATTCCTGTTTTTATTTTGTGCTTGTTCATTTTGGTTCCATGATGAAGCCATGAAGACTTAAAAAAGGAAGAGGCAAATCAGTCACCTTGTGCACAGTGAATCATCCATACAGTAAATATTTGACTACAAGAGGCAAGACAGCTGAAAAGGTAGAGTTATGTAAAGCTTTTGAGTGGGTCGATTGGATCCTGGAGATGTGGTTACAGCAGTTGCACAGGGTTCTTGTGGCCTTTGGTGAGGGGGCCCAATGTGATATTTTTTCATGGGGCCCAAAATCCCTGGCGGCACCGCTGTTCCTACCACTAGCCGGCATTGTAGAGGAGCCACTGTAGAAACAGAGGTGTGCTTTCTCATACAGTGCACAAAGATCTTCCCCATCTGAAAACAGTTCTTCATTGTTCAGATAATGAAGAACAACAGATTGTACGAGGGGAGAACAAAGACAGGGAGGAAAACTGACTGGCATACAGTCAAGTTTCTGTTTGCTGTAGGCATATTCTCAGGTGATTTTTCCTGTTTGGTATTTAGCCATTTCTTTGAACCTGAATGTTCAGACATTACACAGCATGTGACCGGGCTGGTGAAATATTTCTAAGGAGGTTTGTGTTGCTCTGGAGGAATTTGGACTCATTACATCAGTATTTCTAAAATCTCGTCAGTTTTAACTACTTTTAACTGCACTCTTCCACCCACTTATCAATGGAAAGGCTGTTTGAATCCTTTTATATCTGGTCAGTTTGGCTAAACTTTGTTACCAGTTTGTCCAATCTTGATTTTAACCACCTTTGCAATGTCCTTCTCTTCATGACAACCAGCCACAATGACCTTATTGTCATCTTAAAAACAGGTACAGCCTCTGTCTTTAAAAACACACTTTACCAAACTTTACCACCACCTGCTGGCTACTTAGTACACTTACATACATTATTATATTTATTATATTATAAAATAGTACACACTTACATTATCATTTCAGCCAAATTTCATCATTTAATTTTTAAATTTTAAATCAAATATAATTAATATGTGTATAGGCTGAACATGACCCTGACTGCTGTGCACCTTAGGTCCAGTCTCCAGCCATCGTCTGACTGTTGTATCTGGTTGATAACTTTGAACACTCAGTTGTTATCACTTATAGGTTACCTAATGCCACCTGAGTTCAGCTGAATGAAGCTCATGTGAGACAGCTGAAAACTCTAAAAGATAGTAAGTGGACCTCTGAGTGTGGGTGATTTTGTTACCTTTGCTGAAGAACAATTACGTTATTCATTTAATATCTAACAAAAATTACATTTACAACTTTGGGGTTGATGAGGAGCCATTTCCAACTATTCTCAGCAGAAATGCACATGCACACTTTTTGTATACAGTCTATGGTACGCACACATGTCAAAGTGATGTATGTGGCAGGTTTTCCAGAATCTCTTCATATACAAATTATATCACAATAATCACAGTACCAAACGAATGAAAAATATCATAAGTTCGAAGGTCACTGAATTATAGACAATGACCAAGAACAACTACCAAAATTTCCCTTTCAATTTTTGATCAAATATAATCAGCAACTAGGAGATGATTGTGAATGAAAAGGACATGGTAGCATTGTAATAACTGCTGTACACCTTAGGTCAAAGTAGAATATGTTAAATCTGTGACTACTCTGTGTATTTGAGCAGCTATAGATTCATCTGAACTGTAGGAATCAGGTTTCATTTTAAGCTTGGCCACTGAAAAAACAAAAACAAATTGGAACATTTTGACACAGTAAAATCAGTTTAATATTAAGTGTGTCGAAAATCACATCATTAATAACTTGTTAAGACACAGAGTGAAGCTTTGTGTTGGTGTCACTGTCATATTTGTTGAGAAAGCACGGATAAAAGGAAATGATCATATTAGACTGGGTTTGATTGTATATCATCACAATTAACCCAAGATGTTTGTTTTTGAAATACCTTTTGAGTTATTCAGCACTGACCCACATGTCAAGAGGGAGAAAAGATCAAGAAAAACTAATGCAAAAAAGATAAAATCATGAAGTAGAGTTGTACAACATGGATCATTCGGGAAGCTGTAAATAAAAGTTGTGACCCCACAGATTAACAAACCTCTAATCGGGTTATTACATCAAATATTTTATGCATTTATCAATAAACTTAACCAAGCCTTTATCATAACAGACCTATAAAGTGTGACTTCAGATACTAGATGTTTTACCTGCACAAAAAGCAAAAGGTTAAAGCAAAACAAAGCAACGCAAAAAAAATGAAAGAGAAAAACACCAACAAAACAGCATTTGTTTAAACTTTTCAAGATTAAATGTATTTTACATGCAGGTTATGGACATACACCCAACCATGTACAGGAAGCTGATATGAGGTTTCTGCTTCCAAGAAATTAAAATTGAAACATTACCTCGTGTTATTTTGATAACAAAAAACATGTATGTATTTATTTATTTGTTATATCATTCTATGGGCTGGTTTCATTTATTTTTAAATATGTCCTCTCTCTTTTACTTTCTGTCCAAAATATCTCTTGTCACTTGTTCAGCTTTGATCTGAACTTATTTGTCAGCTCAGTGGAGGCCATGCATTTAACTCTCAAAGGGCTGACTGCGTCTGTTTGTGATTAGTCTGTATTCTGCACAACTTCTTGGGAGAGGAGGAGCCACCTGTAGAGATCAGAGGGAAAACAGACTTTCTTTAACTATAAGAAGGAAAAGAAAAACAAAGAAACAGATAGGCAGGAAATAATAGAGGTTTTAGAAATATGCTTAAGAGCATGATAGTTTGAGAAATGACAAAGTTCTTCTGACCTTTTCTCCCAACTGAACACAATACTGGGTATAACTCAGGGTCCTGCTGTCATATTGTTTCTTTTCCTGGTGCAGCATTCTCTGGAGAGATAGAGTTGAGACCAATAATGACGAGACGCAGCCAGTTCCGGTCGTTTCAGACATTAATGTACAAGATCAAGTTGATGCTGTTTACTGGGAACCAGTGGTGGATCTAAATATATTCTTACACTGGTGGTGTTAGAGGTAAAAGTCTTGTATTTAAAATCCTACATAAGTAAAAGTACAGAAGTATTGTCAAATAGTATCAAGAGTAAAAGTAAAAGTTGTGTGATAGGTCTACTTTAATTCTTGTCAAAATAGATGATACTGTAATCCATTGACACATTTCTTTTTACTGGAAAGAGGATTAACAATATTATACTATTTTAAATACATTCAGTAACTGTAGAAAATGTTTTACTGTTTAACAGTGCAACAAGTTCACACCACAGAGACACTACAACAACAAAAGGCGGAAGGTGGAGGAAGTCATTATAGGGAAATACAAAGACGAGGGACATGATATAATTTGAACTGTTTAAAATGAAAGCAGGTAAAGATGTAAGTTTTGTAATGACGACAACTTTTACACAATGAAGATTTTTCTCACCTGCAGAGGCAGACAGCTGAAGTGATGCCACACAGGAGCAATCCAGTTACAGTTGTGAGTATGTATAGAAGATACCGCGAGTGGAAATCAGTCGTTTCTGCAAAGAATCAGATGTGAATTAATTCCGGTAGCATGCAGGTTGAGTTCTGAAATGCACTATGTCTGGTGTAGAAATGATGAGCCCTGCTTTGTTCTCTACCTACCTTCAGGTTTCTCAGACACAGTTAAATTCCAGGTAGCAATCCTGGTGCCATTTACACCACTTACATCACATCTATAGAGTCCTGCGTCGTCATGCTGAGCATTAGAAATATTTAGAGTTGAAGGAAAGCCAGAGTCTATTTTCAGTCCGTCAGACATAAAATATGAAAAAGTCAGATTTTGTGAAATTGAATAAGAAAAAAGAAATCTGTGTTTGGTCCAGCTGAGTAGTGATATGTTTATCATGGATACGTTGCAAGTGAACATGACGGGGTCTCCTCTGGACACCAGTATATTCCTGTGCTCATTGGTATGATATAACATGAAGGGAAACAATCAGTTAATATAAAATGAAATTTGTAATTACATTTAAAGCATGCATCAAACACACAAATCTCCACTGTACCTGCAAAGACATGACACGCTACTAGGAGTTGAATGGAGAGCAGAGCTGCTTGTTTTAGGTGAAACATGACGAACATCAGACGGAGAAAGACAGAAGTAACTTCACAGCCCTTAAATATGTTTGTGCAGGAGGCGCACAGAGAAAGGAAGTGGTTAGTTGCTCTTGACCTACCTGTAAAAACTAAAATCACACCTTATATGGATCATACCAAGGAGTCATAAATACAATTATTTAATTAAAAAAAAAATAGAATATTGATAATCCAAGCTCAATCCTTCTTGAAAATAAACTAAAAAGGATTTCATTAGTAGTAATATGATGGACTGAAATCTTAAATGAACATAACAGACATGCTTAACTGCAGAAGGAGCACATCTACATGATGCTGAGAACACTTCACCCACATAGTGTGACTGCTCTGCTTAGTGTGGTTTCAGAGCAGGTCAGAAACTCTCTGATGCTTATAAGAAACGTGATAACCCGATGGAATAAGTGAAAATAAAACTTTACTTAACTTCAGTCTTTGAAACATACATTATTTTGATATAATAGATTCCATCGCAGAACCCAAGAGGGCACGGATCTCCAGCCTGTTGAGTTGAATTAACTTTATTGACATTGCAACAAACATTGTTAGGAACTTGCCTTGGTGAGCTCATAATGCAGGACAGACAGCACAACATTCAAAACAACATACTGATGATAAAACCATTGTACATATATAAAAACATATTAAAATAAACACACTTTCATGATTATAAAAAATAAGATAAAAACAATATTCCTTAAAGTGAAGGCGCTGGTTTTATTGTGTTAATGTTAGATAAGTCAGAGGTTTCTGTGGGCCAGTTGTCCTCACTTGAAGCACCTGGTTCAGCTCATGTTTAAGTTTCATTTGAATGATCTGTCAGCTCACTAGAAACCATAGATTGAATTGAGCCTCTCCATGTACTGACTCCTCTTGTTGTTTCTTCTACTGTCTGTGTCATCCTGCAGTTGAGTGAGAACCACCTACAGAGAGAAAAGGTGAAAGTAAAGTTCAGTGATTTTTCTGAGAAAGAATAGAAAAGCATAGAAAGGTGACAGGGTGAAGATGACAAAGTTCGTCCGACCTCTCCTCCTGACTGAAGATGAAACTGGTCCTGGGCTGAGTCCTGATTTTGTGTCCTGGTCCTGCGTATTCTGCAGAGATCAAGCCGTGATACAATATGACAACAATCGTATTCAAGGTGTTGCATGTATATTATTTCAGAGAGTTCATACATGGGACAATGGAGAACCCAAAGAATCTAGTTAAAAGTGAAGCACACAGACGACCCTAATAACTGAAAAGCTGAAACAAATAGCTGGTTAATCGATTAGTTAACTGACAGAAGATTAATCAGCAACTGTTTTTTTTTGATAATTTTTCAAGCAAAAAGACCAAAGGCTCTGTAGTTTCCAGCTTTGGCCGAGTTGTCGTATAGCCTTCTGCCTCCGTGACGGCGACAGCCACGACTGGAGGCACCAAGTTTTTGAGTTTTCCGTCCATCCATCCCATTCCCATTGACTCGATATCTCAGTAACGGCTTTCATCACTTCTTCAAATTTGGCACAAACATTCACTTGGACTCATCGATGAACTGATTAGAATTTGGTGGTCAAAAGTCAAAGGTCACTGTGACCTCACAAAACACATTTTGGCTACAACTCACAAATTCATCCAGTAATTATGGCACAATTTAACTCAAATGTCCATACAGATAAAATGAAGTGATGACATTTTATATACAAATAGTCAAAGGACAACTTCATTGTTACATCATAATGCTCTCAGGAAGGGGAGATTGTGACCATATTTCCTGCAACTTGACTGGTTTGCAGGGGCAGTAATTCTAAATTTTGAAAAACAATGATCCAGGTAATCTGTTCAAGTGCACTTACACTTGTGAACATTGTGAAGTATTGTGTTTTTTTTTTTTGATGTGGTGATAACTTAACAGGATTGCATTTACCACCATTTGGCCATGTTGACTTATGACTGTAATGCATTTGCTGGCAAAACTTAAATTGAAGCATCAGTTTGTCTAAGCTCATTGCATCTACTGTCATTAACTTTGCAGTAAATCTAGTTGTATACTTTCTCTGTACATACCACTCTAGCTGCAGAAGTCTCAAGCGCATGCATGTAACCACATTGTAGCTAAATGCATTAACTGGAGCAACTGCAGCCGTGGCCATAGCCAGGACTTCAGATCATAAGTGTCCTGTCTACCAAAGACAATAACAACTCCTAAATGTTTACAGCATTAACTTTTTCTTATACTTTGTTCAGTTACATTCATATTTATTGTTGAATTATTTTGTGTGTAATTTTTATGTCCCAGCCTGAATGCCTGAATGCTGTTTCAAAGCCTACTCAACACTGCTATAGTGGAGAAATAATGGTGGAGAAATATTAATTATTTTAAAGGGCTAATAGTAGTTCCCAGTACTGACAACTTCTCTGCACCTGAACAGAAAAGACCAACATGCATTTGTTCATACTTACAAATCTAAAAGCTAAAAGGTGTCACTCACCTGCAGAGGCAGACGGCTGAAGTGATGCCACACAGGAGCAATCCAGTTACAGTTGTGAGTATGTATAGAAGATACCACGAGTGGAAGTCAGTCATTTCTACAAAGAATCAGATGTGAATTAATTCGGGTAGCGTGCAGGTTGAGCTCTGAAATGCACTATGTCTGGTGTAGAAATGATGAGCCCTGCTTTGTTCTCTACCTACCTTCAGGTTTCTCAGACACAGTTAAATTCCACGTAGCAGTGCTGGTGCCATTTACACCATTTACATCACATCTATAGAGTCCTGTGTCGTCATGCTGAGCATTAAAAATATTTAGAGTTGAAGGAAAGCCAGAGTCTATTTTCAGTCCGTCAGACGTAAAATTTGAAAAAGTCAGATTTTTAAAAATTGAATAAGAAAAAAGAAATCTTTGTTTGGTCCAGTTGATTTGTGTTACGTTTATGATGGATACGTTGCAAGTGAACATGACGGGGTCTCCTCTGGACACCAGTATATTCCTGTGCTCATTGGTATAATCTAACATGAAGGGAAACAATCAGTTAATATAAAATGAAATCTGTAATTACATCTGCAGAAAAAACACATGCATCAAACACACAAATCTCCACTGTACCTGCAAAGACGTGGCACATAAGTAGTAGTTGAATGGAGAGCAGAGCTGCTTGATCTCGCCTGAACATGACGGCCATCAGAAAGAAAGACAGAAGTAACTTCACAATCAGGCCCTACTTGTGTAAGAGGCGCAGAGAAAAGGAAGTGGTTAGTTGCTCTTCAGCTAAGCTCCAACATGTCTCACACCTTTCATGAAACATAACGTTATGTAAGTATATCATATAATTCAATTTAGAATACTTTTAAAATGCAGCTAAATCTCATAATTAATATGATAAACTGAAATCTAAAATGAGCATAAAACACATGCCGAACTGCAGGAAAACTTTTACCCACACTTACATAGTGTGACCGTTCTGCTGAGTGTGGTTTGACAGCAGGTCGGAAACTTTATGATGCTTATAAGAAACATAATAACCAGGCCGCAATTACTCTGTTGTGGTACTCAGTGAATTTCATATGTGTTTCCAATGACGAGTCAAAAGCTGCTGCTTAGGAATAGTTCAGTGTTTTCATCACAAGACACTTTGAATCTGTTACCATAACCAAATCTGTTATAGAATATGAATATAGTGCCTAACTGGAACTAAGACCCGATGGAATAAGTGAAAATAAAACTTTACTTAACCTCAGTCTGTGAAACATAAATTATTTTTGATATAAGAAACACCATGCAATTCCATCACAGAACCCTAGAGGGCACTGACCTTTAAATTAAAGCCTTTTGAGTTGAATTAACTTTATTGACATTGTAACAAACATTGTTAAGAACTTGCCTTGGTGAGCTCATAATGCAGGACAGACAGCACAACATTCAAAACAACATACTGATGATAAAACCATTGTACATATATAAAAACATATTAAAATAAACACACTTTCATGATTATAAAAAATAAGATAAAAACAATATTCCTTAAAGTGAAGGCGCTGGTTTTATTGTGTTAATGTTAGATAAGTCAGAGGTTTCTGTGGGCCAGTTGTCCTCACTTGAAGCACCTGGTTCAGCTCATGTTTAAGTTTCATTTGAATGATCTGTCAGCTCACTAGAAACCATAGATTGAATTGAGCCTCTCCATGTACTGACTCCTCTTGTTGTTTCTTCTACTCTCTGTGTCATCCTGCAGTTGACACAGAACCACGTACAGAGAGAAAAAGTGAAAGTAAAGTTCAGTGATATTTCCGAGAAAGAAAAGAAAAGCATAGAAAGGTGACAGGGTGAAGATGATAAAGTTCCTCTGACCTCTCCTCCTGACTGAAGATCCTGATTTGGTGTCCTGGTCCTGCGTATTCTGCAGAGATGAAGCTGTGATACATAACGACAATCATCCCGTTCCAAGTGTTGCAGGGAATGTGACTAAGTTTAGATTTAATTTTCACAATGGATTGTGCAATATTTGATTCATTTTGTTAAATGAAAAACAAAGAGTCAAAACATGTTTGTATTCCTGGAAGTAAGGTATTGCATTTGTACCCTTGTTTTTCTGCGTATATTTATTCTCTGCTCTAAAGTTGTGCTGGACTAAATGCAGTCTTATTTAAGAAGTGTAAACATACAAGAATCAGGCTGGAAAATAACCACCATGTGTAAGTGTTTAGTTGAAGAACACCAGGTTCTTCAAAAGTATAAACAACATGACCCCTATGAGAACTTTAGAGCTCTGGCTGATGGATCTGTTGACCTTCCAGGTTTCAGAGACCTTCTTTTTTTCCTGTAAAGATGTTGCCTTTGAAGTCGTGCTTTTCTTTTATTACTATTACAATAGATTATCTCGTAATTGTAACTTCTGGCAATACTGGCTGCTATTCAACAAAAGTTAAACAGTCTTGCTCTAAAGACGTCAGAAATAAATGACAATGTGAATGTCTTAATTTCCAGGACAACTGGGCAACTCAGGCCACAGCAACAAAACATCTACTGAGCGGGCGGTGTGGTGAGATTGTGTTGTTAATTGTTTTCAAGTTCAAGAAGGAACCTTTAATTCTGATTAAAACCAAGATGGCAAAACATCCCTCGCTGTAAGTCAGACATCAGTGTGGGTAAACTGACCCTTTAAATATTGTTAGATATCTGTGAATGAGCTTTGTTGTCAAATCAGCCTTAGTTGCCGGTACTGACAACTTCTCTTCAGGTGTCACTCACCTGCAGAGGCAGACAGCTGAAGTGATGCCACACAGGAGCAATCCAGTTACAGTTGTGAGTATGTATAGAAGATACCACAAGTGGAAGTCGATGATTTCTGCAAAGAATCAGATGTGAATTAATTCCGGTAACATGCAGGTTGAACTCTGAAATGCACTATGTCTGGTGTAGCAATGATGAGCCCTGCTTTGTTCTCTACCTACCTTCAGGTTTCTCAGACACAGTTAAATTCCACGTAGCAGTGCTGGTGCCATCTGCACCATTTACATTACATCTATAGAGTCCTGCGTCGTCATGCTGAGCATTAAAAATATTTAGAGTTGAAGGAAAGCCAGAGTCTATTTTCAGTCCGTCAGACATAAAATATGAAAAAGTCAGATTTTGTGAAATTGAATAAGAAAAAAGAAATCTGTGTTTGGTCCAGCTGAGTAGTGATATGTTTATCATGGATACGTTGCAAGTGAACATGACGGGGTCTCCTCTGGACACCAGTATATTCCTGTGCTCGTCTGGATAATGTCCTAACATGGAAGGAAACAGTCAATTAATATAAAATGAAAGCTGTAATTACATCTGCAGAAAAAACACATGCATCAAACACACAAATCTCCACTGTACCTGCAAAGACGTGGCATATTAGTAATAGTTGAATGGAGAGCAGAGCTGCTTGCTTTAGGTGAAACATGACGACCATCAAGGGAGAAAGAATGGAACTAAACAACCAGCCCCTCTGTATTTGTGTAGGAGGCACACAGAAAAGGAAGTGGTTAGTTGCTCTAAAGCTAAGCACAAACATGACACGTGTGTCCTCACACAGGTTACACCTTTTTGGGAAACATGTAGTTCAGTCATATGGGACTTATATACACCAGGGCTGAGAGCTCCTCATGTCTTATATTACTGGTTACAAATCAGATGAATTAGATCATTTAACAAATCATCAAATATCAAAATCTGAGTCATGATTCAGTCAAACCTGAACACGCAGACAGCAAAACACCACTGCAAATAAATGTCAATAAATCTGCTTAGAAACCAGAGAAAAACAAACAGGAAATTCAAATAGTTAATTCTGTACACTTTCAAAAATAAAAAGTAAACAAACAAAAAAAAAGGGCTTAAGTTTTAGCTTTAAGTTGAAGCCCACAGCTTCTCTCACTGTATGGCAACATATTTCCTGTTTGTTGAAAAGTTTTGTTTATATCTGTTCTGTTATCAGAAGAGTCACTATCATTGCACATCGCCTACAGCTTATCTGATGTAACAAACTTGAAAGGGTAACTGACTGACAAGTGAACCTTTTGGGTGAGCTACTCTAAAACAGGCGGTGAGCTACTGGTAGCTCTCGAGCCACATGTCGGCCCCCTGATATACACAGTAATTTGGAATATAATAATAATACAGATCGGTTTTTTTCAGTTTATTTTGTCAGTCATGTAAATAATTGCTCTTTAAAATGTACATATTGGATGTGCAGTGTTCAACTGCAGGCAAAGCACCTCTGCATAATGCCTATCACACTTTACCCACACAGTGTGAAAACTATGTTCCAACCGTTGAGAAACGTTTTACAGGTTCTCAACATATTGCAAGCTTCATGATGCTTATAACCAACCGCAATAACCACATCTTGACAATAATTCTTTTCTGTTTCTCAGTACACAATAAAAAAAAAATCTCATCCGTGAAAATGATCCTGATTCATGGCTTTCCTTTACAAAAGCTTAATGTCAGTGGAGAATAATACGATAAATGACACGTGTACAGATGTGAACTCTCGATAAAACCTTTACTTTTTTAATCTGAGTCATAATGATCAGCTGTGAGTAGCCTAATTTAACCAGCTCTAAGGTCCTATTCCTCTGAGTTTCATACTTTACTACTCCTACTTTGCAATAGCTCACTATTTTGATAACAAGACAGTTTATCACTATTAACAAGCATCAAATCTGTTATCCTAAATTTAGAGGAAACATGGGTCCCCAGTTATATATGATGCAAATGCTGGAGACCCCCTTCATTTTTTCTATATATCTGTCCCTTTTTGTTTTCAGACCTAGATCTGGAGGCTTGGTCCTGTTCTCCTGCACAGGTCCGATTAGAAACACACCAGTGATCTCATGTTTTGTTCAGTCAAGGTGTGGTGAAGTCATTCGGGACTGTGCTGCAAATAAAGCAGCCATCATTACAGTAAACTGAAGTTGCTGAATATGAATTACTTTGACTGAAAAGACCTCTGAAATTCCTTCATAGTACCCAAGGAGCTGGGAGTTGGTGGTTTGGGTGCACAGCACTCTAGTTGAGGTCTGTTAAAGACCCTGCTGCTGTATTAATATTAGATAGGTTGTGCTCACTCTCATTGCCTTTCCTTGAATCGTCTTCCTTGAGGCACGCGGGTGGCAGGGTCAGAATGTGGTGTCAACAGCATGAATTAATTGACCCAACCTGCCTTGTGTCAACAGTCCAGGCCGCTGCTGCTGCTGGTGTAATGGTGTGGGGAATGTTTTGTCGGCACTTCGGGCCCCTTAATACCAATCAATCATGGTTTGAATTCCACTGTCTCAATCTGAGTATTGTTGCTGACCCTGTGCATCCCTTTATGGCCACAATCTACCATCTCCTAATGGCTACATCCAGCATGATGATGCATCATGTCACAAAGCAAAAGTTTCATAAACATGACAATGAATCCAGTGAACTTCAGTGGCCTCCCCATGTCGTCAGATATGAATCCAGTAGAGCACTTTTTGGGTGGTAGAACAGGAGATCGGCAGAATGAATGTGCAGCTGACAAATCTGCAGAAATGATGTGATGCAATCATATCAACATGGAGCAGAGTCTCACAGGAAAGTTTCCAACATCTTGTTGAATCCATGCCACGAAAAACTGAGGCTGTCTTGAGCGCAATGGGACGTCCTACCCAGTATTAT